AACTGAATAAGTCTTTGCTTGTGTGAGACATGGTTTGAGTTATCCCTCTTGGTTAGACTTGGTCTTTCACTCCACAAATCTTTGCTTCATAGGTGTCATGGGTCCTAAAAGAATATTAGAGTGCTACAGAAATAAAATTACTTCAAAATTTGTCTTGACACAACACACATACCACTGCCAATAGGATGGTGTGGGCCAAGTGAACCATCCTGGAAAAGATCTCAGAGGCCATAAATCTGGTGATCTCTGCAGGAAAATGGTGAATATCAAACTTGAACGAGGTCTTAATGTGCATTGTTACTTAAAATATGATTTAAATGCATGAAGTCTATAAAAACATAAGTGAAAATGAAAGTTACCATTGATTCAACAAGATTTATAGGTTATTGAATTTGTATGGGAAAATATGAACAAGTTTTTCAGATGTCTAAACTACACGACCTTGGGAGTGCATATATCCATCCAAAAAAACGAGTTCATACTTTTCCATTTAAATACAGAAACTTTTTATTATATGCTCATTTTTGTTTCATTACCAAAGACTTAATAATAAAATTCAAAACCAAATGTATTTAATTATAAAATTGATTATTTTATTATTAACATATTAAAGTTCACAATCATATATTCCTTCAATACACAATAATAGTATTCATGCGCATATAGCTCCTCCCACCAACCTTTTAACTTCATAGTGTACCGCATGCTCATGTGCTTCAAGCGCAAGGAGTGCAATAATAAGGTTTTCAATATCAGAGAATATTGAACAATTCTGACAATGTAAAGTTAACGGAGAAAAAAAAATTGGGTATATAACAAGTTATATTATGCCACAAGATGGACAGGTATGGTTAACACTTATATGCCTAATGACACATAATGGTTTTTGCCACCAAAAGCTCATTCAGAAGAGGCAAAATGCAACAGGAAAATAAGGGTCATTTCTTTTTTTTAACAATACTTATTAGTGTTGTGTTCACATTATATTTTTATTCACTTCAGTTGGGGGGATGGGAGGGGTGTTAAACATTGCCAGAAATGTGCTGCCTATTTTTGGCACTATGTGGATATATGTCCCATATCTATGTGGAGGCATAACAAAGCTAGAAGTAGATTCCAAGACAAATATATCCTAGAAACATCTTTTTCATCCACTATATATTCAAGATTAATGCAATTTATCCTCCATATCTTAAAATTACTATATTAACATACATAAGCAACATGAATACTTTCAATCATAAATATTTGTTTCAATTTAGTAAATTTTCTTTTCTTTGACATCACAATTTTGCACATGAATGGTCAACTAAATCTACAATACATGAATCATTAACAGTAATCAATACTTCTGAAAATTCATCTTTCTCACTAAATTTATGAACACTTTATAGTTATGAATATTCTGTGTTTTATAGCAGCAACTGAAATAAATTGAATTATACCACTCCAGTGGCCTAATGGTTAGAGCGACCACCTTGGATACTGTAGGTCATGGGTTCAATCCCTGAGCCGAGTCAAGCCAAAGACTTACAAAAATGGTACTAACAGCTGCCTCACTTGGTGATCAGCATTAACAGCTTAGTGTTAGGACTGGTTGGCTGGTTTCAGGATAATGTGACTGGGTGGGACATCATGCTACATGTCTCGGCATGATGCCTCAGTGCTAGACATCACTATAAACTGCTGCACTGAGAAATTGTTAAAGCTATGTTAAACATCTAAATCACACACACACACACACACATTAAATTTAATCAATGAAGAGTTGCAAACACTTCTGTAAATGAAAATGAATTAACAGTATGTTAAACATCTAAATCACACACACACACACACACACACACACACATTAAATTTAATCAATGAGAGTTGCAAACCCTTCTGTAGATGAAAATGAATTAACAGTTTCCAAAGCTGAGGTTTATCTGCTCCTGCCCTCCATTTAAATGTAAATTCTTCCTCAAATGCAAAATGTTAGGAACTTTGTTTTGAATTTAAACTGATCTAACTTTTAAAAATAGATCCAATCAATAGTTTTTGAGTTATCAAAAGATCAACATCATCATAGATAAAACATACAACTAATTATTCTTTGGACTATGGAAAAAGCAAATGTGTGATGGATACAAGCATGGTCAAAAGATTTAACAAAATGACTACAATTTGAAATGTTTTTTTTGTTACTTTTAAAATGCTGTACATTGCATATCTTATGCAGCCCAGTACTGGTAATTTTGATCCCCAAAACTTGGAATACATAGATGCATGATAAACAATTCTCTATTTTCAAATTTGGAATAGAATGATTGCAATTATAGGATGGTAAAAGTGAAGTAAACATGTTCTCACTCTGGTACACCAAAGAACAAAGGTTGAATGTGACTTTAATAACATGTACCAGTGATGAACAAGTTAGACAGGCCCATGAGTTATTAACAAACATTATGGTCTTTTATCTTCAAGAATGAAAGGTCCCTCTCTGTAAGCCCTCTTGATGGTTAGAACAATCCACATACAAATAGTGGATAGTAAAATAACTGTGGAGCTCTTTAAGAAAAGGAAAAGATGTTTCTTTTTCTTCTTTCTCCCTAACGGGGCATAAGAGTCAATCTAGATTATCCACAGTGCAGATACAATTAGGATTGGGATCTTTATAGGAAATGGAACTACCTAATGAAGCTGGGTTAAAAATAAACTGCCTGACAAAGCACATAAACAGACTCACAAATGCTGCTGAATCAAAGACAACCTTTTTCTATATCGCTTGAGATGAGCCAAGCATAACTGTGGAGAATCTATGAGTAGTTATGCAGAAAACAGCTTGTACTGTGGCTGAAGGTCTCTCCTCTAAGGCGATGATCTGTGCTGGTCTACCAATAGGGCAAGAACCATGCTGAACCATGAGTAGAATCTGTGAGTAGTTATTCAGAAAACAGCTTCTGTACTGTGGCTGAAGGTCTCTTCTCTGAGGCAATGATCTGTGCTGGTCTACCAATAGAGCAAGAACCATGCTGTACCATGATTTCTGGGGCCAGAGAGACTCTCAAAATGATCTGAGCAGTGCAGATCCTGATTTTAAATAAAATATGCAGAATCATCTTGAATGATGTGAAAGCAAACAGGGAATTTCACTTAAGGCTAAAAGAATCCACTGCCCAGGCCCTCTGGTTATGGGCTTAAGTGAAACATAAAAAGGAGAGCTTGTTGGGTTAGCCTTCTCACAAACAAGTACATTAAGGATCTTGGCTTTCCCAGAGACCATTCCATAAAGACTACCTTGCCTCTCCTGGAGAGACTGTCCACAACAAAACATTACTAATAAACTCAATACCTAGTGAAGAAGGTTCTAAACTCCATTGAAGAGAAAGGGAATGTGTGCCTCCTTATTGCCTGAGGTATGCTGCAGCTGATGTGTTATTCTGAGAAGACCATCACACAGTGACTCCTTACTTAAATGACGCATACATCCCTAATTTCCAAAATTTTTATGTGTTGGATAGATTCTAAGAAAGCACCATGAACCTTAAAAAAGTAGCCCATCCAGTTTGGCTCAACCTAAATCTGATGCATGTCTTTTCTGAGAACATATAGGAGTGCTATTATGTGGCGTACACAGGGACTCTGGTCAGAAACTAGTCCTGATTTGCCCACCAACTCATCTGGTGCTGAAATTCATATACTTGAATAATCTGAACTTTTAGGAGATCCATGAGCTTATTCCAGTTTGCCAAAAGGAGAAACTGAAGAGAAGTGTTCCGAAAGTAACCAAGTCAAAGTTCAAGGTTCCGAGAAAGAATATAAAGAGGTGAGTTGTTGTTTTAGCTTCCAGTGCTTACAAAAAAGCCAGTCCTGCTGGATATGGATTAATCCCCTGTTAGTGAGTAAGTTACTCCCCACATATAGCTCCATTTTCTCTAGGTATGGTATAATGCCCAGATGTGTCAATCTGGACCAGCAAAGACAGATCATGTCAGACTTTAAAAGGCCATTTCAAATCAACCAGTGGTATAAATACTAGAGGATTAGACATCACCAATGACCCAATTACTCTTGGTCCCAAGGCTAAGCTGAATGGCAGAGTGCAATACTGGAAAACCTCAAGGTCCAGACAAAACCAATGTACTTCCAGTGGGCAGAAAAAATTGGGATGTGATGGTACACATCCTGGAGATCAATGGAGACTGTCCAGTTGCATGACCCTATGGCATCTCTGACCAACAATCTCTTTCTTGAAAGATTCCTCCTGAATAAACTTGTTTAAAGCAGATATGATCAATAACCATTAAAACCTTCCACCTTCATGGATACTAGGAAAATTTGAGAGAAGAATGCCAGAGACTGCATATTTAACACTCTTGTTACTGTCCCCTTGGTCTCACTTTAAAAATAAAAATCCATGTAACAATGGGCTACTTAAATGAAATTTCATTTGCCCAACAATAATTTTCATGTGTTTGATCTTTTGGGGCTTATACAATGTTCAGCTCCAGGATGCAACCATGTATTTTTTAGTATGGTAAATTAGAAAGGGAGCACATAAACACTGAAAATGCATTATAAAAGGCACACAAATATTTTCATCATTTGCAAGCTTGTTCACATTATCCTGGCTATTAGGCATGTCCATTACATCCAGTGGCCTATGTGGTCATAATGTCCACCTTGGATATGGGAGATTGCAAGTTCGAACCCCAGCGAAGTCATGCCAAAGACTGATAAAAATGGTACTAGCAGCTGCCTCACTTGGTGTTCATTCCTTAAGAGCATGTACATGATTTGGATTTTTAATGTAGCTTTAACAATTTTTCAGTCATATCGATAAAATACCTGCAGTGTGGGAGTTTATAGTGATGTCCAGCACTGAGCATCATGCTGCAGACATGTAGAATGATGTCCCACCAGTCACATTATTCTGACACCTGGCCAACCAGTCCTAAGACTAACCTCTTAATCCTGATCACCTAGTAAAGCAGCTGTTAGTATCATTTTTACCAGTATGACTTGGCTGGGATCCAAACCCACAATCTCCTGCATCTGAGGCAAATGCTCTAACTGCTAGGCCACCGGAGCAGTCCAGCATTAAGAAGTTAGTGTTAGGACTGGTTGGCCAGGATAATGTGACTAGACATCATTAGATACTGCCACATCACAATCTAATGATATGACTCAAATTGTTAAAGCTACATTAAAATTCCAAATTACATACATACATAAAATCATCTAGACACATTATTTGATCACTCATGTGGCAAGCAATTGATTGATCAAGATTATCTTGCACTCTGATAGATTTCTTTGCAATCAAGTTGTGAAACATTAAGGAATACATTACCCTTTCTCCCTTTCTTATTTTCTTATGCATAGAAAATGATATAATTTCCCTCAGTCTGTTAAAATTATGCAATGAATTTCTGCCCTGTATTTAGCATTGTATTCAAAATTAGAAACAGGCAGTGCAGACTTTTTCCTTCCTTCTGTTAATTGTCTTTTTCAATTCTATAACATAGTTTGAGTTCTTTAAAATAATTTAATTATTTCCAAAAGTATTTCAGTGTTTAGTTATTAAATCATAATTAATGGGTAACAATTATGTGATCCAACCTGTATCCTGTGTTATGACTCTATGGTATTAAACTAAGTAAAGAAAGAAGATAAACCAACAAATTTAGTAAAATCAAACCATAATTTAATTATCTAAGTTACAAAGCGAAAACTGAAAAGGAATTTAACAGTACTGTGAATTAAATCCAAAATAATCCTCAATGATTTTTCAAGGCGAGGTCTTGAGCTCAAATGCAAGCAAACAGCATTTAAAAAATAGCATTAGTCAGTTAGGCCCAAACTCCCATACCCAATTACTGATAAAGGTCAAAAATAAAAGAAATAAAACATATAAAACATCTGATACAACTTTTGTGTGGTTCAATATATTTTGTAATGTGCTCAGAAGTAGCAAAATAAACTTATACTGTATTTCCATTTGCCGATTTTATGCTCTTTCTTTTAAATGTCGGTTGGAAGTCAATAATAATCAACAAACTAGTGATCTGTATATCGATATTTTAAATAGAGGTGTGTGTGTGATGTGAAATACCCTGAACAAAATATGTAATCAGTTAAATCTAATAGCAATAGGTAGTTTTTATTCCTAAAAATACAGTAGTTTTATGTCTTTCTTTGTTGTCTAAATTCATAAGGGGAGAAAAACAGCCATCCATCATCTTAAAAGTAAATTTGGGATAACTGACGATAAAACATAGATTTGCCCTCAGATTAGCAGACGTATTTCTTTTTTTTCTTTTTTTTTTTTTGGTACTTCAAATTTACCGCTAATAATGTCTTCTCCTCTTCATAGACTCGCTACGCATTGTTAATATAAGTAATCCTAAAATAGGTAAGAAACTTCTAATTTACCATGAGCAGTTATATGATTATGAATAATATGTATATTTTTATGGCAGAGATTAATTTCATGATTAAATTGATGAAACACTGTTTTTGTAATCGTTTTCGAGATTGTTTAGATTGGTGTGCAGTGCACTTATAAATATAATCGGTAATTGAAATATGAATTGGTGAGCAAACTTGTCAAACGCAGCGCCACCTGTCCATTGTTGTTGTAACTAGCACATGATGGGCATGTTGAATTGATCAAGAGAGTAGAAATTGAGTGACGTTTATGGTAAAGCAACCACATTACTATTATTCAGATTCTTTATTCATTAAAGCCTTCAGTTCTGCTTAACGTAACACCTAGGCAAGTTTTTAGGGAATAAATATATGAAACTATACACTGCAGTCGGTCTGTTCTGTGCATGTAAGTTTTCTGTCACCGATTGACGAAAATAAAATACTATACAATGCTTTCTATTTGAAAAGCGGCAACTCTCACCAGAACATTGCGTTCATTTTAATACTAATTTTGGATACTACCCCTGTGTTTTCATGACTCGCGATATGTCTGCCTATTCAGCGCATGTCGACAAAATAAAATATTTATGTATCGGGCTGTGTATGTTGGTCTACGGGCTGTGGAATTGAAATATACTATTTTGGCCTTGTTCCGTCAGCATTTCAACAGATGAACTAGGTCAGATTTATAGTAGAACAGTTAATGTTACGATGACACTAAATAACAAGAAATATAAAAGAAACTAAACCGTTTTTTTTTTTAAAAAAAAAAATACAAGTTCAACATTTTATAAGTTGTATACATTATAAATTGAAGAGAAACTACAATGATTTTGATGCAGTGTGCTTGAATGTCTTGTCTTTGAAAAAATAAAAATCTACTTCAGAATTTAAACAGACCATTAGCCCAATGATAATAAATGCATCACATTTTTTTTGTTTTGGTGCTTCATCTTAAATAACATCATTGTGTAGCTTAATCCAAGGTTGACTGACAGGAGAATGAGAGGTAACATTTTCAGTAATATCTCACACTCTTGGCAGCTCTTCCATAAAATTAAATCTGATTGATTTTATACTTACTTTTGCCTTTATTTAACCTGAAGGAATCAAATAGATATATTTTCATGTTAACATTCTTCTGGCTGGAATACAACAGAAGCCAGGAATGCCAAAAGCAGATTATGTTGAAGAATGTTTCTTTAATGAAGTAAATAAAAATACACTAATATTGAAGAAAGTTTAGATTAATTTGTTTCATTGAGGATTTATCATCCTTTTGACCAATTTCGGCATACCCATCTTCCATCACATTCCAGCCAACTGAAATATAATGTTACAAGTCAATGCACTTACAATAAGTAACAGAAAAGAATGAAAAGCAACAAACTTTGTAAAATTCAACAAATAATTTATTTCCCTAAAATACAAGGTGAAAATGAAAAAAAGAGGACTTATGCATTGCAAATTAAATCCCAAAATAATCCTCGAATTACAGACACAAGTCCTAATAATAAAAGTTCCAAATAATTTTTAGTGGAAATGAAAGATTAAGTCCAATGCTGAAGGTGATGTAAATCTGATTGCCTTTATTATGTTGTTGTTGTACCAACAGTCTTTTGTTGAAACAGTGATATAATTCCAGGTTTGAATTACTCTATATCCCAGTTAATGTCTGTCCACAAATCTTATTTTTTAATGAGCACTCTGTATTTCCAGTGAAAAATCACTTGAATAATTTGAAGAAATAAATTCCAGCCCAAATGAAATTTTGGACACAACACCAATATAAATTTATTCTGCTAGATATTAAAGCACAAATAATGTTTCCATTAACAAAATTATATATTATTCTACTTGACCTCAGGTAACAATTAGCATTTTCTAATAAAAACTAAGCAATGGAAAATATCTATCTGGAGGGTTCTAAATGTTTACCAGATGAAATGTTATACAGTAATTAGAAGGTTTGTTACAAAAATTATAGGTCCTGGTTTATGTCCGGTATGCCAGGGGAATCCCTCTAACCTAGACCAAGACCCAAATACACATTTACTTCTCATAATAATTATCATAATATTAAACCCATACATACAGCTCATATTTTAGCTATGTATTAGTTGTTTACAAAAGTTTTTAAAAAATCAATAATTCAAATCGAGTAGAAAATAAACTTGAGTTTGGACAATTTTAAGTCCAAAAAATTTTAATAAAGCAAACAATGCAAATTACAACATGTAAATCAATGAAACTTAAAAACACATTCATTTCCTTGTGTGAGAATTTGTATTTTTTAAAAAAAATACATCAGAGTATTCAGCCATAATCAACATGAGTTTAATTTGTGGGAAAGCCTCATAATGTGCTACCATGGGTGAGATATTCTTTAAAGTTTGGATGTTCATTCTGATGTTTATCAACAATGGAACACACAACACAAAGCTTTTATTTGGGCAGTAAGACGTGGCAACAAAGCATAACATGTGATACATCTTTCATTGTTGAACTAAACTGACTATATGCTCAAAAATTCTTGACAATCTCACTTCTGCTGACAAGTCGCTAAGCAGACAATAATTTGCAAAATTAGAAACTTGGATTAAGATTCTAAAAGATGAATAGATTTAATGGATGGGAATGTTTATTATAGATTCTGTATCACTATAGTTAAAGAAGGTCATGGGGTGGGTTTTCATTTTGACATTTAGAAGGCATATTTTCATATGCGTTCAGAACAGAAATTTGGTATTTATTTTTTTTACACTTTATGAATACTACTGTTCAAGATTAAAGATCATTCTTTCATGATATAGTTTTTGACCTTAAAGAACATGTGATTCATTGTTTACCAAACTCGTGTATTGATGCACAGAATAGCATGACATACGGATTAGGCTGAAATGGTAGCATATATCTTGTACTCCTCAAATTTTGATGCATTTAAGCATTTAAAGGAGGTTGTGGGTTCGATCCCTAGTTGAGTCATACCAAAGACTAAAAATGGTACTAACAGCTGCCTCGCTTGACACTCAGCATTAAGAGGTTATTGTTAGGACTGGTCGGCCTGGTGTCAGGATAATGTGACTGGGTGGGACATCATGCTACATGTCTGCAGCATGATGCCCCAGTCTTAGATACCACTAAACTGCCACACTGCAGATATCATAGCGATATGACTGAAAAAATTGTTAAAGCTACATTAACATTCATAATCACACACACGCATTTAAGCACTTAACTTTCAACTTATCAGAAATATGCCTTTTTCATATTGATATCTCATTTCTTTTGAAACACTAGTTATTTTGGCAAAGCATGCATATCAAAGGGCACTGATACATATTCTCCAAAGGAGTCTGATGTTTTGTCCATAAAGTATGACAAAAATCTGTAAGAACATGAAATCACTGTATATTTATATTACAGATAAGGAGATTTCATGTTGTCACAGATTTTGTCATACTTTTATTGATTAAACATGATAATCCTATTTGCATTATTTCAACATATTGATTCTTAAAGAAAGATTATGTTATTACCTCCCTTGTTTTGATGCACCTCACAGGCATCTATTTCTGCTTGTGACACCTTTGTAAGTTAAGTATGCATGGGATAAAATAAATATTGCAGAGAAATGTCCATACATGTGACATAACCAGAATC